GGCAGGTGGAGCAAAGAAGGCCATCCATGAGATGGGATCATCCGGGGAGATTGGGATCAGCAGCCCCCTTAACAAAGTAGGATACCATCTTCCATTTATGAACATGCTAAACAACACTGGTCCCAACACAGTACTATTGTGTTATAGTACACAATAAATACCTATTTACTTTCTCTTTGCCATTTCATATTTTGTAAATTCTTACCATGTCTCTCCTCAAGTGTCTCTTCTGAACTGAACAGGCCTAGCCTCTTCAGACTCTCCTGATATGGAAGCTCCTCCATTTCTCTAACAATCCTTATTGCTCTTCTCTATACCTTCTCTAGTTCTTCTATATCCTTTTTGAGGTGTGGGGACCAGAATTGGAAACAATCTTCAAGGTGTGGGGGTACCATGACTTCAAAAAGGGATTGGACAAATTCTTGCAGGAAAGGAGCAGTAATAGTTATTGAGCATGGGAGTTAGGGGTATAGCCTCTGAATTAGAACATCTTAGTCCTTAAATTCTGGAGGCTGCAAGTGAGAGAGGAACAGTGGGGAAAATCCCCCTGGTCATACCCAGTTCACTGTTTCTTTCAACATTCACTGTCTACCACTGTGTGACTCAGGTTTATTTGATATGGACATGTCAACTGAATACTTGGGATAACAAAAAAGAAAACAGGAGAGGAGTGAGGCCACAGGTTAATAACAAGGGATTAGAAAAGGGAGAGGGAGCAAGCACACCAGCCAGCACTCACTGGCCCCTGAAGGGGTCAAGGGAGCCTACGGATGATGACAAGTGAAACTCTTCCTGGAGATGTAAGCAGAGGAGTGCCAGGAAGACAGCTCACACTGGTACAGGTTCCCCCTGGTCCAGAGCCTCCTTCCAGCCTCCTTTCTGGTCTCTTTCCAGCTTGGCCAGAGCCAGGAGGTTGGCCAGGAGGTCCTGGAGCTTGGTGGAGCCAAAGATAGGAAGTCCACAACAGGCTAAAACCTGGCACACTTGAGGTAGGCATGCACCAGGGTCTTTCTCTGTTGGCAAAAGGGAACAAATGACAAAACCTGCATATTGGAGGTGTCTATAACACATGCCCAAGTGACGGCTCCATGGAGGAGCTGCCAGCTGATGTCCCCAGTGGCAACTGGAGTTGCAGGTAGCAAGGGACATTAAGAGTGATAAGAAGGGCTTCTACAAGTATATTAGCAACAAGAGAAAGGTCAAGGAAAGTGTGGGTACCTTACTGACTGGGGAAGGCAACATAGTGACACATGAGGAGGAAAAAGCTGACATACTCAATTACTCATTGCCTTTTTTACCTCAGACTTCACAGGCAAGATCAGCTCCCAGGCTACTGCACATGGCAGCACAGTTTGGGGAGAAGGTGAGCAGCCCTCAGTGGTGAAAGAACAGGTTAACAACTATTTAGAAAAGCTGGGTGTGTAGAAGTCCAGGGCGTCGAATGAAATGCATCTGAAGGTGTTGAGGGAGTTGGCTGATATGATTGCAGAACCACTGGCCATTAATTTTGAAAACTCATAGTGACTGGGGGAGGTCTTGGATGATTGGAAAAGGGCAAATATAGTGCCCATGTTTGAGAAAGGGAAGAAGGAGGATCCAGGGAACTACAGACCAGTCAGCCTCACCTCAGTCTTCAGAAAAGAACAGAGGGAAGAGCACAGAACCCCATCAGCAGGGAAAAGGACAACGATGAAACTGTCCTGGAGTCCCATCCTGCAGTTGCCTGGAAGATGGTCGTCTCTGGTCCCAAAGCACGCAGCACCAGGGTTTCTCCTCCCCTGGAACTGCAAAACAGGTATGCACTTCTCTCAGCGCCAGCAAAGTTGACAGCAGAAGCATCGGCTCTGGAGAAAGGAACAATCCTGGCCAGATCATGAGAGACTACAGGGCTTTGGGGTTGGGCTCAAGGGGTCTGGAGCACAGATAGTTTTCTCCTCAGTCCTCCCGGTTGCCGGTCACAGGTATAGGAGGGATAGATGCATAGAAGAAGTAAACAGAAGACTCCAGTATTAGTACTACTGTGAGGGCTTCGGCTTCTTTGACCATGGTACACACTTCAGGAACTGCAGCCTGTTGGGAAGAGATAGTATCCACTTCATGCCAAAGGGGAAGAAGCTTTTCGCAGCTAGAATGGCAGACCTCCTGGATAGGGCTTTAAACTGACAATCGCTGGGGGACGTGCCATCAACCACTAGTACAAGCCCGAGAAATGGCAACTTTGAAATCAGCACCCCAGGGTACAATAGGAAGCTTTCTCTGACACTGGCTAATGGACAGGTTATTCCACAGCTCACCAGAAAGCCTAGGGCCTCCAACAGCAGGCTTAGTTGCCTGTACACTAGCACTAGAAGCATGGGAAACAAGCAGGAAGAACTGGCCTTCCTACTAACCAACAAGCAATACGATCTCATAGGGATCACGGAGACCTGGTGGGACTCCACCTATGACTGAACCACAGGCATAGGAGGATACACCCTGTAGGAGGGATTGTGTTGGGAAGAAGGGCAGAGGAGCTGCTCTCTATGTGAAGGAACATTACACCTCCCTAAAAGCAAAGATTGGAAACACAGAAGGGTGACTTGAGACCCTCTGGGTCAAGATATGGGGAGAGCATGGGGAAGGGGATTTGACCATAAGAGTTTATTACAGACCTCCAAACCAAGAGGAACAGCTCAACCAGGAATTCTCTGGAGAATTGACAGAGGCTGCATGCTCTCAGAGCATGGTTGTCATGGGTGACTTCAACTACCCAGACATCTTGTAGGAGGAGTACTCAGCTAGATTTGATCATTCACAAAGTTTTCTCACTTGCTTTGAGGAGCTCTATCTAACACAAGAAGTCTGTGGGCTGACCAGGGGCAAGGCACTCCTAGACTTGGTTCTGGCTAAAGGGGATGATCTAATGAGCAACCTGAGGATCAAAAGAAAACTAGGCAACAGTGACCATTAAACAAACACTTTTTCCACCTACTGCAAGTCAGGGAAATCGGCCAGTAGGGTAGAAATCCTTGACTTTAGGAAAGCTGATTTCCACAAACTTAGGAGATTGGTTGCTGAGGCCCTGTGGGACCATGGTCCGATAAGGAAGGGAGTACAAGGTGAGTGGTCATTCCTCAAGGAAGTGATCCTAAAAGCTCAAAGGAAATCCATTACCTTTCAAAAGAAAGGCAGCAAAAGGGCTAGGAGACCCCCTTGGTTCAGC